TGCCTCAGGCCCTGTCCTGTCATGTTCTGCTTCCAGGCCTCATGTGCATTGCCCTGCCCTTAGACCCTGTGCCCTATTCTGCCATTAAGCCTTATGCTTGTATCGCCCTCAGGCCCGTGCCCGGCCTCGCCCTAAGTTGCTGTGCTCTGCCCTCGTCAGGCCTTGTGCCGTCCCATGCCATCAGACCCTGTGTCATACTCTGCCGTCAAGCCCTGTATTCTGCATTGCCCTAAGGTCTCGTGTCCCATGCCCGCTCTCAGGCGCTGTGCCCTGCCCTGTCATCAGGCCCTGTGGTGTCTCCCGCCCTCAGGTCCCGTGCCGTTTCCCGTCCTCATGCCCCGTGCCCTTACCTGTCCTCAGAACCCGTACTTTGTTCTGCCTCCATGCCCTGAGCCTTGCCCTGCCCTCAGGCCCCATACCCTGGCCCTGTTTCACCGGTGATAGCAGCACGCTGCTATTACACGTGTCAAATTGGGTTTCCATGGAGACATCAACAGGCCCATTGCTCAAACACTACCACAAGTATGACGTCAGCTCGCGGAATTTGATAGCAGCGTCCGACGTCCGTGAAACACTGCCCACGTCTTGTCATACCTTCGGGGCCCGAAGGTATGACAAGACGTGGGCGGTGTTTCGGGCCTTGTGTCATACCTGTGTCTTATGTCTTGCTCTACCTTTAGGTACTATTTCTTGCCCAAGATCCTGCGTATTGCCCTGCCATCAGGCTGTTGATCATCAGGTGTTCTAAGGCCCTGTGTCTTGCACTACTCTCCGGCCTTGTGTAATGATAGCCTCAGATCCGCGCCTTGCCTTGCCCTCGGACCCTGCATCCTACCCAGCCCTCAAGTATCCGTCTTAGCTTATGCTTCATGGCCTGTGCCTGCCCTGTCCTTAGGCTCAGACTCTGTGTCCTGCCCTTCCCTAAAATCCTGTTTAGAGATGTCAAGTTGGAGCCCGCAGGCCCGGAGCCTGGCCCAAAATCCGGCCCTACAGGGCTTTTGCATGCACAGTGGATTGTATCATTGTTTTGAGGTACCTCATCGAAACGCATCGACTGATATGCGACATGATCTAGGTATCTTGGTCACGAAATGACCGTAATGTGAGCTCAAGTTCTGACCTTGACATTTCGAGGTAAAAATGAGAGAAGAACGATCGTGCAAACGAAAATTCTCTACCTTTTTTTAGTTCAAAAGCTTTTCATGAAACCAATATTGACAAAAATTGTAATTTTACCCGTTTTTGGCTATGGAGCCTTAACCGTTGATCTGAACTCAATCCTGACGAAATATCGACGAAAGAGCTGTTCAAGATATATCGATTGCTTTTCTCCTATCGATTGCGCCCTCCTAGCTATCATAGTTTTTAGATACCGGCACGTTTTCCGAAAAAAAAATATCATCATTGCGAAGTTTGACATTTGATGGCATACGGTCAGATCAGGGCCGTCATGGCCGTCTGGCCATAGGAGGATATAGAGGGGGCCACGGGGCCATGCTCCCCCCCCCAAAGTGCCCGGAAATGGCACAAAATCGACACATTTCTGGGCATAATAATTAAACAAAGGAACTTCCATTGGGAAATTTGGGTTATATTACATGATAGGCAGTAAGGAAGCGAAATCCGAAGCATCCAAAGCATCCGTTCATCCAAAGCATTAATCTATGATGGATTTTTTATGTAGCTTTGAAATCCGATGATTTTTTTTGTCACAACTTAGGTGGGTACTGTTTGACCTTACGTCATCTAATTATTTCAAACACATAGTATCTTCAATGCAAATTGGCCATGTTTCACACGTCAACCTCTATTTTGAATCAATTGATAAGGGTGAAAAACGCATGAAGAGACGTATGTATCACATTTTAATCATGTGCATATTCATATTTATTCTCTAAGCATAGGTACAATTTGGTGCGTCAAGGGAGGTCAAACACGCCCAACGCCGTTCAGGAAAACGAGTGACCTACAACAATGTAAATGTCATTTTAAATCGCCGGTTCGCCCTTTGAATGCGGATAAAGAACGCACTACGACTGGGCGAATTTCGAGACTGGCCAAAAGCAATCACAGCCCGCTCCCAATATCCCGCTTGCAGTGCCCCTCCACCAGCACAGTACACAATGTATCTGTACATTATCTCACTTGCATTATATACTATTTCGCTTGCAATGTGCCCTTTCCGATCAAAGCATGTGCCCTATGCCACCTTTGGGACGCAGTAAAAAATCCTTAAAATATGCCCTGATGTGACTAACTTACTTATGTATGTGACAAAAAAAAAAATACCGCACTGTCCAAATGTTTCTTCTTTCTACTACGTAAAAAAGATGCACGTCAGGCACGTTGTGTGCCTCCGCGATAACCGAGCGTCCCGCCGCCGCCGCCCGTCGCCAGCTGTTGATGGACGATGTGAACCGTGCCCGCTGCCCTTCCGGGGTCTCTATGTAGCTGTAGGTGCTGTATGTTTGTATGAAGGGACGGACGTGTATCGTCTGGCTGTATTTGTGGGTACGTGTTTTGTCTGACCGTGCGGACGACAGACGCCGAAGTGCCGTCCCCTGCAGTCGCGTCGGTCCGCCGTCCGTGGGTCCCCGGGAGCTGAGCTAGCGCCGGGCGGCCCATCGCTTCCTCACTCACTCACTCACTCCCTTCCCTATGGCCGGTCCCTGGTTCACGACAGGTGCAGTGCTGATCTGCGGAATGACGTTCCCACGTCGGGTCAAGGTTGGGGTCGAATCTCACGATCGCGATGGTTTGATCTGTAGTGGGAATTGGATGCTTGCCGGTAGTAAGCAGCTGGCTCACATTACTGGCATTGTTTGTATCTGTAACTGTCTCGTATAACTATAGCCTGTTGATCGTTAGCCACTGTTGTTGTTAGCCACACATCATCTTGAGTAAACTGGAACGGTTGGCACCACCTGCGACTTCTGACGTGTCCTCGGTCCTGTGGTCACACCACTGAAGAAGGCACGAAATGTCATGTCGTCAGCCGCAATTTATGCACCACGCCTTTGACGGTGGCTCGTTGATGGTCTGTGTGTGACCGGTCTCCCGTGTTCCGCAGTGCCCAAGTTTCCCTCACCATTGGTATGTGACCCCAGGGTGTGACTCGACACCGTGCCCGCAGTGCCCTCGCTGCATGGTATGTGACCCGACACCGTGCCCGCAGTGCCCAAGGTGCCGTCGCTGCTGGTGGCCACTGATAAGGAGGAGCTGAACCTGCGGCGGTACCGCGTCATCGGCGGACTCATCCACTTCGACCTGCTGCACATTCCGCCACAGCCTAAAGTGGTCGGCGTCTGGACACTGCGCGAGGGTGAGTGGCTGGGACGCTTCCCTGCCTCCCTGCCTCCCTGCCTCCCTGCCTTCCTCCCTCCCTGCCTCCCTCCCTGCCTCCCTCCCTCCCTCCCTCCCTCCCTCCCTCCCTCCCTCCCTCCTCCCCTCCTCCTCCTCCTCCTCCTCCTCCTCCTCCTCCTCCTCCTCCTCCTCCTCCTCCTCCCCTCCTCCTCCTCCTCCTCCTCCTCCCTCCCCCCCATTCCCCCGTCCGCCGAGACAGGACGAGCGGGGACGGTTCGCCGCGGTCGTGTCAGCTGTTTGCTGATGACGATTACATGGTAAATAGGAACTGACTGGGTCAGTCACACGGCTGGAAGCGTCCATGGAGGTTGTGGAACAAGATCCCGCGTTGTACTCAGTGGCACGGTCGGACCACCGAAACTGTCAGTGTTGTGTGTCGGAACGTCAGGAGGTATGATGACTTGGTGTTGATAGTCGCCGACCTTGGTTAACAGGGGAGGGGGGGGCGGAGGAGAGGGTAATTGATAACATCGAGTAAGCATTACCGAGCTTTGGATGAATACTGCAGAGTTTTCACCACATCGTACCAACTACCTATTACCTATTTGTTATATACCTACCTCTAATTTTCTTCCCGTGTGACATAGGTATTGGTAATTTCGGAGGCAGCTTGCTGTTTTTTCTCGGGTTCAATGTGGCCAATATTGAATGTCTACCAAGAGCGAAAGCTAGAGCGTAGAGCGCCTTTTACCTACTTTTAGCTTCCGCGTGCCTTTTGCTCTTGGGCTTATCAATGATCTCATATATTGCCAGCTCAAACGGCGCCCAAAAGGTGCGTGCCAATTGTTAGCATCACACGCACTTTCTACAGCAACGATTGTCGGAGATCAATCGTCAAAGCTTTGCACGACCAAATGCTAGACGGAACTGTCATATTGCTCCGAAATTTTCATATGGATTCAGTCGACCTATTCACGTCTCAGAAGTCAACTTAAGACCGAAGTCAAAGCATTTGTGTATCCTACTTTTCTTTGACGCCATGGGGAGATGTAACGCTGAAAGAACAATTTCTGCGATTACGATAATCATTCTTGTCTAGCTGCGAACGTCACTTATCATGATGACTCTTAACGTCACTCATCTTATCTTTATATAGCCCGTCAAACGGCCTATCTTTCACGTAACCTGGCCGTCTGCCACGTGACGATGGGTCGGGCGGCGCCATGCAGTCGCCGGTCCGCGCGGTGGGCTGCACAATGCACAGGCCGTGGGACGCAGCCGGCCTAAACGGAGCCGCGCCCGGGGCACTGGCGGCCGCCGGCCGGCGCAGTTTTACATCGCTAATCCCGACCGGCCGTGTTGACGACGGGGGCGGACAAAGCCACCGCATGCGGACGCGACTTTCATCACCAAATCAAAGCGCTCGGTAATGGCTGGACAGCGGCGCGCGGCGGCTGTTGGGAGGCCGGCGCGCGGCGCAAACGGGCACCGACTCGGCCGCTGTACTGACTGGGTGCCCGCTGGGGAAATGTCCAAATGGGACCGGGATACTCGGAGCCGATCGCGTGGGAGGTGCGGACAATCTGTGTTCTTTGTATGTGTAGAGGTTTTCTTATAACACTGTGAACATGGTTGATGTGCATTTTGCAGCGTGCACATATCCATAGCACACTTGCCTATTGGTTTGTTAGACATACATTTTTTTTACAGTGCTCTACACATTTGTCGTCACTTTGGGTAGGTAATTACGTCCGACGACAGCGACCAATTGATGCGTCCTAGAATCGTGATTGCATCGGAGCTGATGCCGCCAGAGCATCATTGATTTCAGCGAGCCGAGTGGTGTGAGACCAGTGATATAAATTTATGTAAATCCGGGAATGCATTTGGACTGTACCGGCCAAGTGCTGAATATTCTCGCTGGTCGGTAATCCAATCGGTCGGTGGTGCCGAGCGAATGTGACCGGCGTTCGGCCGCTCTCGATCCGTGCACGGCCGGTGTCGTTGGTATGCCGCCGGACCGCGGCGGTCGCGGAGGGCGACACACGGGTGCTCGTCGCAGGATCAGTCGCGACAGACCCCACTGAACTGTGGACACGGCAGGCCCGCGGCCCGAGTCGCCCCGGGCGGAGATACGGACGGTGGACTGGGGCTGATTGGTTACACGCCAGGGGAGGAATTTGTGATGAAGTGGACATCCAAGTTGATAGTGGAAAGGCGACTAGCGAGAGTTCCTTCATAGCTTTCTTTTTGATGCACGATAATGTAATACCTACTTAGTTATGTACATTGTTTGCAATTTTCAAGCTTCTCCCTAAATAACTATTTTTTTTGGGGGGGGGGGAGTTTGTGGATGCCCAATGCCCATGTCCATGTTCGATGCCCGCATATAGGACTATAGGAGCCATGCTGGTAAATCTCACATCACCATGGTTTTACACAAGCCTTGATGTCAAACCATGGCCTTAATATATGATGAATGATGATGAATCGGTGGCCATGTCTGACCCCCACCCCCACCCCACCCCGTACACCGACAGTGTGCGAGCCCCGCACGGTGCGTCGGTTTCCGTTCCGGGCCGACTACCGGCCCCCGCCTCCTGCCGACGGACTGACCAGCCGGCGCCGCGAGCCCGAGGAGATCGAGCGAGAGATACGCCAGCAGGAGGCCGAGATGCAGAAACTCATCTCCACCAGCGTCGAGTGAGTGGAACCGGTGGGACTGTGTTGTTTGGGGATGACTGAGCGACGGCCGGGTGTCATTGTTGCCTGTTGGGTGTTTAGAGATGACCGAAAGAGGGAGAGGGGGGGGGTTTGTAAGATGCCAGATGGGTGGTATGTGGGTGTAATGCCGTAATGGTGATGCCAATTGCCAGCAGGTTAATAGTTTATTTATTTCGTTTGACGCTGGACGCCATGATATCGCTAAAATTCAATGCGAATGTGGTAGTAGATAGGGCTATGATGATTGCATGATTCAGCTATATTGGCCCGTGTTGGAGAGGGAGGATATTTCTGATATGGCCACGTCCTATTCCCCGAGTCACTGTCCGGCAGAATGACACTTACTTGTCTATAAAAAACTATATTCTGGCTGAGTGGATGTGCTGTAAGAAATATAGGACAGGAAGCAGCCCTATCGTAAAATGAAACAAATTGATCATCGTAACGCCGGGTTGATGCGAGGAGCTAATGTTTTATTCGCATATGTTCCGGCACAATAGGTTCAGAAGACAATCTCTGGCGTTCTGTTTACAGTGCAGTTGACACCTACACCCCATTCGAAGAGCAGTTTATTGTCAACGTCCATTACTGTGAATCGACTTTCATGTTCGATGCCTTAGGTGCACCACCCGACTGCGAGTCCGACACCAATGCACTGGGTGTTTTTGATGTCGACGCTACTCGATTGTGCCGGTCACACGCGTCCATATTCCACCCGGAACAGACAATACCGGGCACACTTACAAAGCTCATTTCGATGTGTGCTACTCGCGACGCCCGCGCCCCGCAGTGCAGTGAGTGGGCACGCCCCAGCAGTCCGTAGCGGCCCGTCCGTCGTTGCTAGTGACGGATTGTCAGTGTCGGCTCCGCGTGCGATACGGCCGCCTAACACGGGGTTACGCTCGCGGGGTGACGGCTGAGATGACACAACTGCAACCATCCGTCCGCGGCCCGACGCCGTAAATAAACGGAGCTGCACGGCCAAACCGTCCCGGGGACTGGCTGAGAGATTGGCCGCAGGGCTGGGACTGCATTGGGAAGAATAACGGGAGATAATTTCGGTTTCTCTTGTGGAAGCGTGAATGCTGAATTATTATTGGCATCTTTGTAACTTACTGAAAGTTTGTTTGTTGCATGTTGAAACTGATCAATGATCATTCATTTGTACGCCAGACATGCAAAAAAAAAAAATAGTGCCACCCCAACCAATCTCACCAAATGATCATTCATTTGTATGCAAGACATGCCAAAAAAGGTAGTGTGCCACCACCAACCAATCTCACCAATTCCAACTAAAAAAAGCTACTGCCACGCCTCTATCGCCGGCTCTTCTTCCATTCCTCATCTCGTCGTCACCTCCCGTCGTCTCGTGTCTCCCTCCCACCGTCCACCCTGATTTCTTTCTCCCCCTTCCTTCCTCCGCTTCCGCCGGGTCCTCGGTTGGGATGGATGGCTGGCCAAAGTTGCCCCGCAAGTTTCGCACCAAACTGGCAAGCTGCATAGTAGCCGCACATAACGCGCCAGCGGCCGGCAGCCGACGGCGCTGTGGCTGGTGACGTCATCCCACCGGCAGCCGCCGCCGCTTGTTATGGGCGTCTACTGAGCAGCGTAGGGTTGGGTACGTCCTGCACGGGGCATTTCCCTGTTTTTGTCGAGTTGCGTAGGGCGAATTCGTCGTTGCGGCGCAGTGCGACCATAAATCGTTCCCCGCTGATGTGAACGCCACTTTGAGGGTGGGACGGAGGGCCGGGGGAGGGGCTAGCCGTCTCGCGGGGCGGAGCAGTTATCGGCGAGCCCCGCCGCCGCCGGTGACGCGTCGTTCGGCGGTGTCGAGTCACCACGGCCGCTTGTAAAAACGACGGCACAGATAGAGAGCTCACAACAACATGGTGGACGGCCGGCTGGGGTCGGTGACGGTGCCGCAATGGCGACTCGGGTCTCGGTGCGGGTGGCCCGGGAGATCAGCGGCCCGTGGAGCTGGGACTGGCCTGATGATGGCCAGTGAGTGACTGGGGTCCATCGTTTCCGAGAGCCTCTGCACCTTCCGTCGCATCGACGCCTGATGCGAGATGGGAAGGAAGGAGACCGACCGCCTTCGCGTTCGGCTGTTTTCCTTTTGTATTTTTGTTGCCATACCGTCTTAGACCAAGCAGGCTCTTTTCATCATCCGGGACTAAACTTTCTATCCTTTCTTGGGCGTTATGAATCGCTGATGCCAGTCGGATAATCCTTTGCTGAGGGAGGCTTCATCCAATGACACTGGGGCGGTCTCGATGTCCAATGCCTTCTACGCTGTTTGTTTTTGCTTGACTCTCCATCGAGTTTCGTTTCCTTAGAAATGTTTTCAACATCCTGCATCTGATCTTACCAAGTGCATCATACACCCTCAGTTCCCCTTCCATCCTGTCCTTCCCCATCCTCACCCCGCCTCCTCTCGTTCCTCAGCGAGGTATCCTCCCAGCCGGCGGTGGGGGAGGCCGGCGCGGTGCCGGCGGCCGTCTCGGAGAGCCGCGGCTCGGTCTCGGCCTCAGAGACGGCCTCGGCGCGCTCCGTGAGCCGCTCGGCGCGCCGATCGCTGAGCCGCACCGGCAGCAGGGTGTCCCGGGTGCGCATCTCGGCGGCCGGCGACGGCTCGGAGCGCGACACGGAGCTGTCGCCGGTGCCCGAGCCGACTGTCGAGCTGCCCGAGCCGCCGCAGCCCATCGACTACGCCCTGGAGGTGGCCGACCGGCCTGAGGACTTCCCGCTGGTCGAGACCCGGTATGGCTGAAGACTGGGAGGGAAGGAGAATGTGGTATTGGTAAGATATGGTATATGTATATGGTATCAGATAGTCCAGAATTGGAGGATCAAAAGCATGCGATAGCATGCTTTTGCATCCGGAAATTCCCATTGGTGGGTCGCTGAAAAAAAAGTTCGGCTGAGCCTGTTTGTCAGTATGTATGTATGAGTTTGTCCAAGCTTTTTTGGACCTGGAGTCAAAATGTGTGGACCGATCGAGACCAACGTGGTACCGTTCGACTCGTCACCGGCGAGGTAAACTTTTGGTGCTGGCCTCGGTTCGCTCAGTGCTTCGTGGCACATGCTATTCCACTTCAAAGTTTCGGTGACACGAAATTTTTTGTCAAGGCTACAGGTCAACCCGAGGTCACGGACAAAGCCACACTGGCGGGACACATCGGTAACACCTTGAACCAGTTTCCAGGGGGGTCACCGTCTGCGAGGGGTGCAGGCTGCACGTGCTGGTGGCGGAAAGCCGTTTTGACGTGAGGTCCTCTGGCTCAAAGAAATTTTGAGCTATCAACTTCAAAATCGGTTCAATTGTAGTCCCAGGCAAGGCCTCCAAAATAGTGCACATTTGGTTGAGCTAAACTCTGTGGTGCATGAGCTATGCACGTGCAAGCCGATTGCACCCCTTCGTACGTTGCCACGCCTGCAGGGTAAACGGTGGCTCTAACTGGTTCAAAACTTGCAGGTCATAAGAAAAAATGCATTGAATCTTGACATTTCGGCGAGATAATATCCGAGGGGTGCAAGCTGCGCGTGCGGGGGGCGGTTAACGGTTTTGACGATGGATCCTCTGATCACGGGAAACGTCGAGATAGCGACACAAAAGTCGGTACACTGATAGAACTAGACACATGCTACAGGATGCTATGAAAATGACTGCACTGGGGTGCCTGGGACATGAACTATGCACGTGCATATCTTACTGTAGGTAGATATCCACACCAATCTCACGTGCTTTCAAGCATTTTTGGGATGTTTCGGTTGGTTTCAGGTTCAGTCCAAGCTCAGTCTGGGTTTCGGTGGTTTGGCCCGGTGTGTGCCTTCAGTACCGTACCTCCAATTCTGGCCCAAGGTAACGCAAGAGCGCTGCCGGCATCTAGTTATAATATGTGGTACATGATTATATTTGAGTGCAGAGAGAGTGATTCACAATTATTTTTGAAAGCTAAATATATGAATGGCTCTGAGATAATGAGCTCGTGTTGCGCCGGTCCTTACCGAGCTGTAACCGCCTGCGTTGGTTATTTCTGTTGCTTTGAGGTATGGGGTTATATAATATATATGTTACAGTTTATACGCTGATGAACGGGACTAACGTGAGTCTTTATAATTGGGTATGACCCGCCTCATCCAACGACTTGCTCCCTGTTTCGAAACATCCCTTCGGATAAATTTGACCGACAACATGGACAGGTATCCCTACATAATATGTATCTTTTTGTCGCATGACGATGCTGAATAAACAATAATAATAATAATAATAATAAACCACTCGAAATGCGTCAATCAATCGTACCTACAGGTTACATACAGGGAGTGCATTTCAGAGCACTGAGTTATGTTACAAATGGCCGTTTCGTGTATTTTTATACATGTATCCTGCAACTTAACAACGCGCCTTAGACATAACCTACCCCTTCTCTAAAACGGTAAAGAATTGGGACCTGTTGTGCCTTAAGCCCCGGCCGACATGCCTGTTTGTTTCTGCATAAATTCTACAAACGCGTCCGGTCGCCGGCTCGGTGTGTCCCTGTTCGACGCCGGTTTTGATGAAGGGGTTGCATCTCGACCGGTATCGACTGCGATCAGCTGGTACGCGGGTTCGTCGGGGTGCGCTGGGTCCCGCGGGGATGACCGTCTCCCCAGCTCGCTTGGCAAACGACGTGCCGAGCCGGGCCGGGCGGGTAGATCCGACCACCAGCCTACGAGTGCATACATGGCTATGTACACGTTGGAGCCGTGCGTCTGCTAGGCTTAGTGGAATCGGTAGCTGCGCGTTGTATCCATAACGCTGCCCTTGACGCGGTCCCAGGCATCCCGAAGAGATGCTGCATTTGACAACACTCCGACTATCTGTCATGCTTTGAATGTGATGGTGTATGTATGGTCTGCCGAACTCACGACACTCGTTCGCTCTACCTTATCGATAAGCTGTCTGCGACTCTGACGTTTATAATCGACTGTTGACTGTGTCGGTCGTTTGTGTTCACGTTATACCGTGTCACCGTCTATGGCTGTCTGTCAGTCGTATCTCCTCACGCGCAGTGCCCCGAGACGACGCGTGGTTCGAGCCGCCGTTCTTCGTCCTTCGTCCCTGGGACGAGGACAGGTCGTGCTGGAGCACCGAGGGCTTCTACGACACCCGGTACAACGAGGACCTACGCTGCAGGTCGTGGCCGGCTTGTCGCTGAGACCGCTAGAACAGTTCACATCTTAACGCTTATTTTGGCTTGTTTTTAGAATAACATTCGATGACACTTCGCATTTGATGACACTAACGTGCAACGCTATAGTAGCGCTAGTTCAGTTCATTTGCCAACCGCAAATAACGCTGGCTGGAAGGAAATGTACGAATAGCTGACGAATCACGTTACAGATATGAAACCGGTCGGTGGTTCCTATCTTGGGTTGAGTGGCTGTCCATCCCTGTTGATGATAGGATGACTGTGGGCTGAGCTGTTAATTTTGCCGTCCCAGGCCGGTTTCCCTGGCAACTGAGTGCGTGTGTAGCGCTAGGAGGCTCTGATAGTGCCGTCACTTCACCGACGCTGCTAAGCTCTGGCTTCTATTCCTATATGCTTATTCAGCTTTCGCATAATGATGAAACTCCTTCAGCTTCGGTGACGCAAAATACTATGCAACCCCGGTATCTAGTGACGTGGTGTACTTACTAGTTGCTAAATATGTGGCGCGTGTTACGCGGCTGAATTGGCTGTTGGGGAATCGGGGTTGTCATATTACTACTTCTGCAATATGACACTGTTGTGATTCACATCCTTTACAAATACGCACGCACGCACACTCCCTGCTCTGCTTGGCCCGGATTCGGTAAAATTGGCCTCCTTTGCGCTACCGCCGACGACGCTTTCAGTGACGTTTCTGCTGGCCTTTCCCGGCCTGGGTGCCGGTGCGGTGGTCACGTTACCATTCGGCAGGATCGCTATGGCGAGAGCCCGCAAACCAGCGTCAAAGTTAGACGGCGGTACGGCATCGTTAGTCGGTGCGGTGCTAGCAATCCATGCACGCCGCGCCGAGTGGCTTAGCTCGATCAAAGCGGGATAGACGGGAAACATCGGGAAAAGTTCGGTTTACTGCCACTGTGTTTCAGTCTGCAACCCGTGCAATGTGCATGTTGCGAGGTATCCTGGTCACTAAGGCCTGCGCAAAATCTGTTGACGGACCTTTAATGTATATAAGGGCACTTCTTCGACCTTTTACACATCTTTTGGTGCTGTTTGATAGATTGTGAACCTTTGAATAATTAACGCAGCTTGAACATTCTCAACTTCAGGCCTGCAGTTTGGTATGCATATGGATGGTATGTTCGCAGCTCTGCTTTCCTACTGCTAGTGACTAGAGGCGGCAAAATGTGGACCCGAGGCAGGGTCCAAAGAACCGGGTCCAGACCGGTTCCTGGAAATTTTATGACGGGTCCAACCGGTCCTACCATAACTATACATCCTGCACACTACACATGATTGCAAAATATCAAGTGAATGGAAAGAAAACATTTGCTGATGTATATGTTTTCTTAGCACAATGTAGCTCATAAGGTATTCCCAGTGAGAAATAGGCTGCTTTACATGATGCAACCAATGATACCTACAAATAGTTTGTATTAATTGACGTTTGGGGAACGGGTCCGACTGGTTCCGATTTCAACTTAGACCGGGTCTGACTGGTTCCAGAAATGTCCAGACGGGTCTGGTTCGAGTCTAGTTCCCAAAATTTTCATCATTGCCACCTCTACTATTGACCCTCGGCATGTTTTTCCTCCGCTTAGCTGCTGAACCACGACTATTATTTCAAATGATGTGGGTTCACAATCGTCATCAGCGTTCATTTTTAACGCGTTATGCTCACAACTGGTATACTTGGCGACCTAAATCACCTAAATGGACCCATTATAGACCGATGTAAACAACATTGTCGCATAGTAGATAGGCTTATTTGGGCTCGTCATTTATTTCGGTTCACTCCGGGGACTCGCTGTCTGTAGCAAAATGTAGCCGTTGAGGGCAGTTATAACCGTCATCGTCATTCTTCCTGGTAGTCATACATAAACACAACAATGGAATGCGCAGTAATGTCGAATGTGTGATTCTTGTCGCATTTTACTTTTGCCTTGCAATCCACTCATCGATCACAATCATTGATATGTCATGTATGGATTGGACGTGCGGCAGCTAAGACGAGGTTACATGTGCACCAGTCGTAGGTCATCTGTGTCATTCGTATAACCGATATAACAGCACCATATCCAGTAATCCACAGTGCTTTTTCATACACATATGGGTGTAGACAAGTGGTTCTCATTTCGAACCCATCGCCGCCCTGCTGTCATGTTTCCCGTTCCCGTTGTGTGCGGCAGGCGCGCACACTGCGTCTGGGTCTGTTCGGGCTGGCCGTGAACCGCTTCTCGAACCTCCCCTACCAGAACTGGTCGTACGCGCCGACCGGACCGGCCTCGGCTGAACTGAACATCACCGCCGCCGTGGCCGGCGTCCGCATGGCCGTCAATTATGGGCGCGCGTCGCACAGGACGGAAACGCGCTGATAAAGGAGGTGCAGACTTTGTGAAGTTATTCTGACTCGTAACTCAGCGTAACTTGACTTCGAGCAACTCAGGCACTCTGATGAACTTCGGTTGATATGTTTCAGGACGATCTGGTGAGCCTGTGTGAGGTCACTGGCGGCTCCAGCAACTGCCTGGAACAGTACTACGATAAATTTATGAAGCCGGAGAAACTCATTCAGGTGAGAAAGCGCTGGGCGAATAGTTCGGCCCGCTCGTACCGTACAAGCGGTGCGTGTCGTTGCATTGGTGAGCTTGTCAATGGGCCACATATGCGTTTAAACATATGCGAATAGTTAGGACAATGTTGCATATGCGGTATGCCTACACAGCCCTACACAGCCCTATAGGCATTGGTGTCTGCCGATTGCTCTCTTCGCGATAGCTGGTTCTAAGTCTTCATGTCTTCCCTCATTTCCGGTCTTATGGTGAAGATGGCTCACCAATCCATTAGAAGTTTCAGACCCCATCTTTCGACCAGCAACAGCCTGCCTTGCTACCTTACCTGAGCCCTCTACTCTCTCAAATCAGTCGAACAATACACGTGCCTTCCGCCACACCGGCCCATTCCGCCTCCAATCCCTTCCATCCCAATGGCGGAGTCGGTTTTACACCGCGCTGATGGCACGCACCAGTCTTCACTCGGCCGGGCTGGCCGTGCCGCCTCACCTCTGGTGCCGGTGCGGGTAACGAGCCGCTCAGCCCTCCTCTCCCGTAATCCGGGCTCCGCCTGTGGGTCCTGAGTAACGGCGCTCCTCCCAGTGCCAATAACCTGGCCGCTGACTCGACAGCACCGTGCGTGCTGTATGACCCGCCGTACGGTGTGGAATACAGTGTCTTACGGCGAAATACCTCCGAGCTGAACGTAGACAAGCGAGAGTGATGTACTGAGAGACTCCCGGAGCAAGTAATCTTGCCCGAAGCCAGCGGCGGTCGACTGATTTCCATGGGAACGGCTCGGGAGCTTCGCTAGACTGAGGATCAAGCCGGGATGTAGGCTGTGAAGAAACTAGCCAGCGTACTGGGATCCTGGTTGGCCCAGTTCAGACAATTATTAGCCAGTTTATAGGCTTACCTCGGATTAGTGTCTGATATAAGCTTTGCTCATCGTCACGGGTAATGGCTTAATTTCGTCATCTGAATGAAAATGTCTCCGCTTCAACTCACTCACACTCACGGCAAATGAGATTCATTAAAGCTAGGGCATTCACTTCTATAGAATTTCACTGACTTTTGGGTCGATAAGATCATTTCGATTTCAGCTGCATTTGTATTGTGATTTGCGCTTACTCGTGAATGCCTAAGAAACAGGAAGTGAAAAATCGAACTGGGAAGACGCCTTGAAAGGAATGTGCGAATTGTGGAGTTGGATAATGCTAGATACTAATTGTGATCATTTTGTATTTACGGTGGACGCGTCTCGCAGGACGTTTCTGTGTGGTTGCTACACACACATGGTGTATTTATTACGAAGTAATCGACCTAGCCGTGAATCCATGCTTGGTTCTTGAACAATGTTCTTGATTTCGCTGCAGCAAGCTATACTACTCCCTAAATAAAAGCAGAGCTCAGTCAATCGAATGTCACCCTCCACTGACGCAGCGGTGCCGGCTCCTCCCGGTGCAGACGCTGCAGCGGCACGGGCTGGACCTGTTTCCCGAGGAGGACTCGTACCTCTACATCGAGGGAACGTCGCTGAAGCACCAGCCGTGCGAGAAGCACCTCTACTGGTGCATGGCGCTGGTGGGCAACGCGTACGGCTTCAGCTCGAGCCGCTGGAACCTGCTGGCCGGGGCTGAGAACCTGGTGCTGCAGTTCAAAGAGATGCTCAGCGAACAGCTGCAGGTAGGTCAGATGGAGTGAAGAGGGTCTGCTGTGGCCTGTGGGGTGCGCGGGGAGGAAAAAGAAACGGAGCCGCGTATGATCAAAAAGAGAAAAACTTAGCTTACCTATATAGGATACCAAGGTTTGTGGACTATGGTTTGAAAACGGCTTAACGGTATTTTGGTATTTTATATAAAAATACTGTGATAACGTTCAGCCATAATCTAACGATATAATAAAAAAATATAGCAGATATAGCATTGCAATATTTTAATGAGCATAGCAAACGTCCCTTCTGAGCACCCATATTCCCGGTCCCTCCCTGCAGGGTAACCCTGCACTGCTGCTGGTACGGCCGCGCAAAACCACCATTGTGGAATGTGGCGAGACCAGCCAGGGGGAGTGACCAGGAGGCGCCAGGAATGCCGGTGAGTGCCCGCATCACGTGTAAATTCGTGGCGAGACCAGCCAGGGCTGGAGTGACCAGGAGGCGCCAGGAATGCCGGTGAGTGCCCGCATCGTGTGTAAATTCGTGGTGAGACCAGCCAGGGCTGGAGTGACCAGGAGGCGCCAGGAATGCCGGTGAGTACCCGCGTGTAGTTCATTCAGCGTACACTTAGGTAGGTAACCTGACAATCGTACGCCAACACAACAAACGGGAACAGTCGAGCCTTGGACTCTGTCGAAGTGTGTCAAAAAAGGTTAATGTCACTTGTCCGCTATTCTTTACTCGAATGAAACTTAGTTGACAGTAACGTCGTCTGTTGCTTATTTTTATTGACCTTCCGTAAGTCCGTTTTCAGTAGTTCGATCAGCGATTTTCCCAACGGTGGTGGCATGATCTCCCCTGTTACGCATGCATTATGTAAGTACACTGCTCATGTCCCCCGGTCCTCGTCCCGCGTCGGTTCGCGGTAAGTCGGGAGGACGGGATTCCCGTCCACCGATCGGGCGGTGCCGTCTCCGGATCACGTCGGCAACTCATCAGTCCTCGTCTGCTCCGGAGGTCGGTCTGTCTCAACAATCAGCCCGGGGTGGCACGCGACGCCGACCCGACCCCGGCCCGAGCAGGTGCTCCCATTGAGGAGTGGTACTGGTGGCGGGTGACGTCCTCCGGGCTAGGGAGGCATGGTGTGCGACGATAGTTTACTTGCTTCCATCTCACCTTAATGAATAATTTTTCGAATTGATTTTTTAGTTTTTAATTTAACGTATCACTGCGTCCTAGCATCGCATGAATCCTGACTGACAGGCCTTTCGAAATGAAATTATGTACGTGACGAATGCGCACCTTTTTTTGCTGCACAGTTCTTTTCTGACTAGTTAATTATCTCAAAGTGCTGGTTCTCGGCAACGCTAAAAACGGCAAACAATCCTATACTGAGTTCAAAAGCGCTGCACTGGCGCTACAGTTAACAGTCCACACCAGCTTCCAGCACGTTTGATAAAAAGCAATAAAACATTATGCCGGACCTGGAGAATACAAGGATTGTCAGCTTTTTGAAATGCGCTTAGCATTGTGGTGTGTTGGCGTATGTGACGTAGAGCATGCAAATTGATAATTAATGTCGACGGGCCGGGTGATGTCCGGGCCAGGGCTTTTCGTTCCAACTGCGTTTGCCTTCTCCGTTCATTTCGCTAAGAGCGGCGGGCGGTCTGTCGCGGCGCAGATTTTGATCCGGGCGCGGCTGTGTCCGGCCCTCCGTCTGCCCCCGGGGCTCAGGGCGGGGCGTGTTTACCGGCGGCGCCCGCACGGCCGTGACGCCCCCACACGGCTGGCGTGACTGTCAGTCGGCGCGAGAGTAACGACATACGCACGGCCAGCGGCCGTCGGCGCCCCCACGCACGCACCCTTCTCCCCGCGCGGCCGCCGCCGGTCCCGACAGCGGCCTCCCTCCCCGGCCCCGGCACTTCCTAACGGTCTCCGATAACAGCAGGTGCGCCGGCTGCAGACGTTCCCCTGGCAAACAACTGATCGCCCATGCAGGTCAATGGTCGGTGGGGGAGGGGCGACCAGAACCGCGGCTAAGTGGAGAAGTGAGTAGTGGCTGGTCGGTAGCCAGATGCGTACTAACAAGTGTGGGCGGTGGATCGGTGGCTAGGGCGCCCAGACGATGCGCTTCGAGTCGTTTCGTCCCTGCTATTCCGCGATTATGTGTGGTATTGTTTCTGTGATCGAACATATAAAATACAAGCCGGTAGATGTCCTTACATAGTTCGGTATTGTATGAGCGCAATCAATCAAGTTTTGACAAAAGCTCAATGAGCAGGCACATTTCTTATTTGTTTTGAGACGACTGGAAGTGCTAAATGTTTGAATGTCCACAAAACACACGCGCTTCAATGCGCAACACGCATTAGTGTTGACTAGGCGTATTTTGTTAACACTCATTCAAATACCAAACATGTTCACTCATAATTCAAAGTTCGTTATTGATATTGCAGTTGTTGTGACCCTCGTGACAAACGGTGAGGGCCGAGAGAGGGCTACATTAGAACGAAATCTCCCTCCTACGACATTGCCGAAGGCGATGCCGTGCCAGATGCCGGTCAGTCCCGTTGTGCCAAGAAACAGAGGAGGTCGGACCGAGCGGGAGGGCGGCGCCGGCCGAGTTACGATATCACGTTGTTCGATCGTGCCTTGAGAGCTGAAATAATGAATTTGCAGATCTAGTGCATGCGCTCCACTCACATTCGCTAAGGTGTTGAAATATTGAATGTGTTAAAAGTAGTTAATTTATTGAAAGTAAACACCTGCATTCCTAAGTAAAAATTTGTAACGATAACCTGTAATAAATGGATTTGTGTTAGCATAGATGTTAGTCATGATCCATGGCCATGGATGAAATATCGCTGGAGTTTTACGGATGTTTGAATAATCTGTATCCTACCTGAGACATAATTGGATTCACAGTTCGCAACAGACTTCGCAAAAAGCGAGACTTTATCCAAAGTCTGCTGGAACTATGACCGTAACAAAAGTTTTGAGCGCCACAGTATCAAAGCTCCATTTTTTTTTCGTTTTATGCAAGTTCAAGGCGAATATATGATAACTTTTTGCTATGAATCATTATCCTGAAGTAGTGCAAGGGTGCATCTTATCCCGGAGGGTGGGAAAGACGCCCCCTGGCGTTGGGGAAGATGCCCCCCTTAGTATAAGTGGCCGAAATGGGCACATGAATAGCCTGAACGAATCAGTTCCCTTCTAGCCTGTGGTAGACACTTAAACGCCATCGTAAGGGCCCTCAAAAGTCGTCGTGAGGGGTTTCAGAGGTCATCGTGAGGGCCATCATAGTCCAGCGCGGCCAAACAAGCCTCCGTGGTGGCACGTTCAAAGACTGTTGTGGGACCCTTATCATGAGGCTGGGCCCTCAAGACCATCATGGGGACATCAGATGCCAGCGCGGCCCGTGAAGCCAGCGTGGGAGCCCCCAAGAATGCTGTGAGAGGTCTCTGAGCCATTAATGGGGTCCACAGAGGCCATCGTGAGGACTGAGGGCTCTCAGAGTCAGATGCCACCCAAAAAGTCGGTGTATTGGCCGATAGACCGGCATGGGGAGCAGCTGACCGTATTGCACTCTCAGTAATCCCAAATCGCCCTTTGTCTCTCACCACAAGTATGTACTAAGAGATTCGACAGGTTTCTTGAAGGGCAGCCTACGGATTTAGGGGGGCGTCTTTCCCCATCAGGTCAGGGAGCATCTTTCCCCAAGATACCGAATGGACAATTAATCAGTACAATTTGTTAGCACTCAAACTAAACCCTTTACCAAACTGGTTGGGACACAGTACACGCATGTGAATGCATCACTGCAATAGCAAAGTGCATACAAATTACTTATCTTCTTTGATATTCACAATGTTTTGACACCAATTCTTTTTTTTTTTTGAAATCAGCAAATATAAAGCATGCAGCCACCAGCCCACCGTTGCCCAACTAAACTTGGCAATTTTTTGTGCAGCACACAATGAAGCCTTCCGCTTTACGCTAAGAGCATTTAAGTTCGAGGTTTTATGCTTTATTTCGCCACTAGAGGGGGTGGGGCGTCTTTCCCACCCTGGGCATTTTACCCCACTCTCCCCTACTTATGGCGGATACACACCCGTTTGTTCTAACTCACCTGTTAGGACAAACATTGAAACAAATGCGTGAATGCATGTAATCCCTACACACATGCAACTGATGATGTTGTTACGTAACCATCTTGTGATGCCGAGTTAACGTAAGCTTCAAACGTGAAAGTGTATTATGGTATCAGGTAAAGCCACCGCAACTGTGCCTGTCGTAAGACGTCACATATATAGCTACGCCAGACGCTCACATAATTATGTTTGCCTATCTCAAATAAGCCGGAAGCCCGTTTACACATACATATACCTGGATATAAGGCCGATGTCGTCCCTTCGTGCAGGACATAACATTGTAATTTGTGAATTGCGTCTCCGCCTGCGAATCGAAAGCTCGAACGCTCCATGACTTGTGACTGTAAGATGTTTGTCGTATTGTTCCTACATATGCTCTTTGTAGCCGAGCTCAATGTTTCAAATATTGTTGGATCTTTTTCTGTTGGTTTTTCGTTGTTACTGCCACAATTTGAAACTTTGATTTTTACGCTACGTTACCTTATCGCCATCGGCTTCAGATCGTGAGCACACGTGCAGGCTACGGAAAATATATTTATAAGCTGACAGGGAGGAGTTTTTTTATCGCCGTAAATAATGTTTGGGCGTATCTCTGTCTATGCGTGTTTATGTATGTGCGACTTCGTAATGCTGCAGCCTGCACCAACAGTGATTGCGAAAAGACGGAGCAACGCTCCCAGCGCTTAGCAGTAGCTGGATTTTCTGTCAGAACTCCTTGAGGATCACCTCTTCTGCAGAAAGGACGCTTTCATTCAACTGGCCCATGCACTCACCAGGCCTATTTCGTTCTACTCGTATGGAGAGATGATGTCAAAATTTACGGAGCCGTGTCGGGAGTCTGGAGGACCGAGAAACAAGACCAAGGTGTCGGCTCTGCGGCTCAGGGTGGAACTGGAGACGTATTGCCGTTTAGTACCGAAGGCACTTCTTAGGCTACGTGTCTAGCAAGCGCTGTAAACGAAGTGTTAGGTTGTGACCATTGCTTTGTCCTGGAGTAAAGAACAAGTGGCATTACCTAACGTGCTTTTACCGTCTTGCTACCAAAAGTACTGATGTTTTTATGAAAATTGAAAAGTGTATTTTAGACACTGCGAATGCAAGTTTTTCTTAGTCTGAATTGTTGTTGTATTAAATACCTACGTCTTTGTGCTTTAAAGCCTATGTATTAGAAGTATCTGTAACCGTTTGGAGAAGTGCCCTGCAGCTGCTATATATTTGAATTTCAATGCGTTTGCACCAAAAAGAAAAAAAAAAGAAAATAGAGCGAGTTGAAGAAGGCGTGAGCCGAAAGCTCCTCGAAAGTATCTGGCCTTTTTTACGATTTTCTATTTTGATTATGATAGCAGGTACTACTATGAACGTCAAACCCCTTGAGACCCCACTTTTTTGCGATAATTGTTAAATGCGTCAACTTTCGTCGACAATATTCTGGCAATGTATGTTTCAGAACCTGCCGAAACTTTTATTACTAAGGTATTTTGACGCCAAACGATTATGGAAGGTACTTCTCATTCACTCGTAATGTTAAGGTCAATTCAGGCCCGGGCAGAGGCTTGCGCTCGGCCACACTCGAGCCCCGCCACCAGCGCCATCTGCTCTAAATGCCATCTACCAGTGCCCGCTACCGCTACCAGCTACCGCCCACCATCAAGCCTGAATGGAGCGAGAGACGCGAGTGACCGGTCGCCGGGCAAGGAGCGCCGGAGGGGTAGGGCGGAGCTTAGCGCTGACGTCATTACGTGGCTCCGCCCCATGAGCGCGTAGCCTCTACCCAAACAGCAGATTCGTTCCGTGAAATTTAACATTACGATGTGAACGAGAAGTACCTTTACTAATCGTTTGGCGTCAAAATACCTTAGTAATAAAAGTTTCGGCAGGTTCTGAAACACACATTGCCAGAATATTGTCAACGAGAGTTGACGCATTTAAAAATTATCGCAAAAAAGTGGGGTCTCAAGGGGTTTGACGTCCATAGTAGGTACGGTTACTTTTTATTATATTTTTAAGCAAGTTTTTCTTCTTTAAGAGAAACAGGCAATCTGTCGTCTGTCGTGTTGCCGACCTGTGTCACCTGGTGGAGGTATGTCTGGTAATTGTCTCGTGTTGCAGTAGTTTGCCAACCTGTATCGCCTGGTGGAGGTATGTCGGTTAATTGTCCGTTGTCTGTCGTGTTGCAGTACTTTGCCGACCTGTACCACCTGGTGGAGGCCCTGGGCTCGGAGGAGGCACGCGCTCGGCTGGAGGCGGCGCCCTGCACGTTCGTCAACTGCCTGCACACGTTGTTCACCGCCACGCGACTGCTCTCCTACTCCTAGTGTGGCCACAATGAGTCAGCGCAGCGGTCCAGTGGTGCTCAGTGATATACTGCCGCTATCTGATCTCCGATCGCATCCGATCATACGCCGACGCGATTCAAGACGACTCCGGGTTTCAGCTGTGAGACGGTCAGCTGGTTGATGCTAGTCATGGTGGAGATTTTCAACTGAACCAAAGTGAAAATGGAGCAGTTTCTCTTGAAGAAGCTAACAGTAGAACGCGATGTATGTACTGTACTGATCAATGATCATGTTGTAATTTAGCAGCAGCTCGATAGGATTGATGCTCTCTTCCGACGAGGAAGCTATTGAAACTCGCTGGCTAACCTAGCTTCGCATTATTCTCTTCCGACACCTCATCGTGTGTTACCCGCTGACCTCATCTGAGATGTGCTGCTGAAGATGTGCAATAAATCGATCTCTGTACTCTGCTCCCGTCTGTTCGAACGGATGAACCGCACGGAGCTCGCTGCCGCTGACGTCACTGCACGGGTCTGGGCGGACGGACGGGTGGACGGGCCGGATCGCCGAGTGACCTTTGTCTGCCCACCCCGGCCGCTGTTCGGATTGAGTCGCTGCATTACCGGTCGTCTTCATCAGCGGCGGATCGGAGTCACGATATGCTTGCCTCCCGTGTCCCCGCCTCCGCCTTCGACCGGCTTTTCCCACAGAAAAAGTTACGTCTGAAAACCATGGTGATTGGCCGATGACGCGACCGAATGCGCGACCCGGATTGATGACGTGAGTGCGATTTATTACCGGTTGGGATGAGAAATTAGAAATAGGTACATTGCCTAATGATTTTTGACAACCACGTCGGTAGTTGGGCTCGTAAAATGCATTGTACATATTAGATTGGCACGCACGGGGTGAATGCGTATCAATCAATTCTCATCAACCTGGAAAAACTTCTTCGGTTACAACTGCCATTCCCCCAATCCGTCGTTTTCTCTTCTTTACATCACCACTTTGGGCGTCATCCGATATTGGAGGTCACCCAATGTTCTGGAATTGGGGTCACCTACCCTCCGACTGGGCTCTGACTTGGAGTCTTGGGCAATTCCGAGAGGCTTTTGGCATTCACTTTTACCATCGGCGTCACCCGAACAGTCGCGGAAAAGTTTGTTTCGGCAAGTTGGAAGGTTATGGACGCGGCTCATTTGAATGAAATCGTGCGCGTCTCGACTCTTTGCCAACGCTCCAGTACCCAGAAGGTGGGATTCCACCGGCTTATGGAAATGAAAAACCGTATAAATCGACGACTGGTGTAATCTACACGCGGCATTGCCCCGGTCGGTTGAATAAAAATAAATGTAAAGTATGCATATTTTATTTTACACGGAACCATATACAATTATTTCACTTCGCCTTTCCTAGCCAATAATTTAGTGAACACACAATAGGATGTGGGAAAATAGTTCGGACACAGCGAGACGACAGTAAGAGGTGCGCGGTGTTGACAGCAGAAAGACATGCGAAATAGAACACCAGCGCAAACCCTGTCCTTGAAGGGTTCAAACGGTTCAGCCTCTATGTGCGGACTGCTGCTCTGAGACAGCCCAGCCTCTACACCTACGGAGATTCTGATTCAGCTTATGGCTTTGACACACGGGAGGTCATGATGTGAACAGAACAGCGATCGCTCCATCGTACATTTGCAGGTACTTTTGGCAATACCTGCCTCCTAACCTGTCGGCTGTCACCGCCAACGATAAAGCTCGCTGTAATAACACGCAACAAGAACTGCAATGACAAAGGAGACTTTGGCATTGGACAAATAACAGTTCAATTAAAATAAAGGTACGGCTGCCCAATGATTTGCGAATTTTCGTTCCCACCTTTATACAATAGCCTGCTTTTCGGAATGCTTGAACATTGCTTTACGCTTTCCGGCGGATTGTATGGTAGTGTTCCTTTCTCATTTCGAAATAAAACGCCTTGCAAATTCAGCTTATTTGATCCATACGACTCAAAAGCTGGCTATAAAATTGTGTCGTTGCCAAAGGGGATAAAAGTTAGACGTTTGCGGTCATCCACTTCTCATGATACGTTCGAGTGCACTCGCAAATTCGTTCCATCCTAGACGCAGTCTGTTTCCGCCCTCAATTTGCATAATGACCTTCACGCTGTATTTTACCACGTATTGTTAACGCCTGTCATGTTTTCATGTCGTTCATATAACACCGCCACGAACGATGCTTTCGAGGGTCAACGTTTCATTTTTATGTTTTGTCGAATAAAGTGAAACCTCGTCTTGTCGGATATTCCAACTGCCGACAGCACAAAAGCCGACACCGTCTTATCATCTCCACCTTAGCGGAGGACGTCGCTCGTGTTGTCGATACGCTTTCATCCACTCTCGTTCGTTCGCTGGCCCTGATCCGCCGGCCGGCTCGCGTCCCCGGCGGCCGGCCGGCCGGCGGTCTCTGAGATCGGTGGTGTCGCCCTGCGGTGCCGGTCCGTAGCCCGACACCCCGCCGGCGACCTGAAGCGGAGGACGCCCAGAATGGAGCGCCACGGGAGGTATGCGGAGTGGAGGTCGGCCACGGTGAACTCAGCAGATACCGACAAAGTGCGCCTCGCTGCAGCCCTTACCGCAACACCTGCCGAAACAAACGATAATGATTGGTGCGTTCGGCATCATTAGCGCGTTTGACATCTTTTGCAACAGCAGGCTAGCTTGCATGCCATTTCAGATTAGGTACTTCTAATCATTCGCGCTGATGACAAGCTCGCGCAATTATAACAATGCCAATGGATTGATATCCATTTTAAGTAACAAACTCTGACGAGTCCTTTCGAAAAGCAGGAACAAAATAAAACAACTGGTAAGCTGTCGAGCCGCCATGACCACCATAGCCTTTCTACATGTAACACCACTTGCGGCGGCTGTTTTATGCCCCTCGTCGTCACACTCACAGGTCGTGTAGCCGGCGGTAGTGGGCCGGCGACCGTTTGGAGGCGCGCTGGTGCTTCCAGACGGGGTGCCGGGCGCTGGCTGGCGTCAGGTGCGGCCGCGGCCGCTGCTGGCCGAACCACACACTGCGCGCCAGCCGGTGGACCAAGGAGTTCTCCAGCCGGCCCAGGTCGGCCGGCACCGACTCCCAGTCTGCGGCATAGCGGGATATCGCCACTGGTTATTGGGGGCCGCACAGACATCACGGTGCAAATGGATATGCTAACACACGGTGTGACAGTATAGTAAGTCATTGACGTAAGCAACTTTTGCAGACAAATAATTCAGCTGAAAGTGGCCAATGGGATACGGCTCAACTGAGACCGTGCAGACCATCTGAGAACGTGACTGTCCTCACCTGAGGTCGGGTAGTAGAGCTGAAACTGCGGCTCGACTGGGCCCAGCGGCGGCCAGGCAGACCGTTTGCGGCCCAGGTCACACGCTCCGGCAAAGTACATGCTGTCGAAGTCGTTGCCGCATATTTGTCGCGTAGCTCTCGGCTCGACCTGGCCCAGGTGCTCGGCCAGCCCGGTCCAGCAGACGCCGAGGAGGACAACCAGTAGCCACAGCAGACACTGTCGGCAGCCGAACGGTGAGAGTGGTGAGCGAGAGAGCGACAGTGGTGAGAACCGGCGCACCTGCACAGGCCGACAGATAGACAATCGGAGGGATTTATGCAGACTGTCACATCACACGAGGACTATTTCAATCAAGGCATTCATGGCTGATGGCACGCATTGCCGTTTTTCCAATCCCTCATCTTATGTTGTCCGTCGAGTTCCGTTTGCACCATCTGTTCTCTTACTCCGTAGCCTTTATTTGGCCGTCGCTGCTGACGTTAACTCTTTATCCGTGGCTGCTAATGAGCGTCTGTGATAGGTGGCCTCGCGTGGCCGGCTAGTTAGCGGTCGCGGTCGTCTCCGGTGAAGGTGCGTGTTACGGCACGGGTGATGGGCGCCCACCAGATCCCGTCGCGGCGCCGCTCGCCCACGGCCGCGCTCCATTAGGCGCGCGCGGCGGCCGGGCTCAATGGCGCCCATTGTGGCGCTGGGAACCCGCGCCGCTCTGCCGCCCAGCCGCCGCGCTCTGCGGCCCGTAATGGAGGGCGATACCGTGTTTTGAATAGTTTCTCTTTCTCGGTGCGTTTGCGACACAGTCCGGATATTAGCCACCCTATGACCGGTCGTAAATAAGAGGCCAGCGGCGAAATCAGCGCCCCATGGCTCACAGCGGGTGGCATTCTGCTTTCAGCCCTCCTTTCATAAACGCCCCAGGATGCTGCAGGATTTAGACGGCGAATCTGTGGCTAACGAACTGCGATCTCTTTGGTAAAATAGACATTTTAGGCAATTGATCATTTAATTCTTTTGTGGGATATAAGGCCGCACGTTTCTGAGTGGATTGATCCGTGTAACTACATATTAGGCTATATGTAGCATTTATGTAGCAACTGCATAATGTGGAAGTTGAGATCCAGGGGACGAGATCAGGAACCGTTTATTAACTATTCCTTAGTTGAGCAGGGTATTGAGCCCCAAATGTATTTCAATTAGCTCTTACGCTTTAGGTATTTTGCCTTATTTTGCTTGCCAATAATTTTTTTAGAGTTTGTATTTAATGCAGTTTCGATTGATCAATGGCGCGACTCCTTTGTTTTTATTTATATGCTTGTGAACGCAGACCTGCACATAGCAATATACGTTCCTAGGTACTGAATTCATTCATTCATTCATTCCATTATTCGCTAGGTGTTCAGTCCCTGTGTGCTAAATTACGGTATCGTATGCATCCTCCGCTGTTCAGTTCAATGCAGCAGCATCGTATATTCGTATTGCCCCATTTCTCCGCTAAAGGTAGCGGTTCTACGCTGCGCTACATACCCAGACGAACGTACTGGGTGTTTTGGCAGCGCTCAAAGCGTAAACCACTCGCCAACTTGAGATACGGGATTCAGACAACTCTGTTCTGTCGCACTGGGGCGGACGGTCACCCACACTGGCGAGTCTGGAAAGGGGGTTTGAGACGCTGCGGGGAAGGCATGCTCTCTTAAAACTTTCTCCATTTTCCGAAAATTCCTCGGATTTCGCTCTCTCTTGGCTTACTTTGCAGTTTAAAACATTTTTCCATGTTAACGTTGCTAATTTTCTTTCTCTGCAAGGAAAACTTAAAATTTTGTCATTTTCGGGCGCTGGCCGCTGCGAAAGGGGAAAATGTCCCAGATGCTCCCATGGATCCCCCAGTGGTCACCCAGCCACATCTATCCCAGCAGCATGTCACGCTATACCTATACAATGGACGACTCGATTCTCGAATGCGAAGCTGAATGCCGTGCAGTCTCCGCGGCGGCGGGCGATCGAGGCACTGCGCTGGTAGACTGACCCGCAATGCACCGCAGCCGTGCGGTACAGCCGCGTCATCTGCGGCGACTTCCGACAGCAACAACAGCAATATCAGACGTTTATCATCGGAACGCAGG